TTCAGCCTCATGCCCTAGGAATATCAGAAAAGAGGCCACAACGTAGGCCAGTCGGCCCATCTGAGCTGAGCCAAACACAGCCACTCAGCATTGTCTACCTGTGCCCTACAGTGTCAAGCTGAGTTGCACCTGTCATTCCAGGTAGCAGTGAGCAGTGCTGGCTGCATCTGACAGACAGGGAAGTAGGGACTCAGGCCCAGGATGCAGAGGAGACCTGCAGCCCAGTGCTTGACATCACAACAGAAGATTTCCCTCAAAGAGTGTGAGCCCTTGGTCAATAAGATCTAGAGGTGTTATAAAAATAAGTATATGGTATTGTAAATGGTGATTAATATTTACTATTGATATATCTTCTGGTAAAGCTGCTGTTAATCCTAAACAGCTGTATACCCAAATCACCACACAGAGACTATGATTTATTTAATTAACCTAGAACACAATGCTGCGCAATAGTTACTCCATCCTAAACCTCCAAGCCCTCATAGTTTCCTAACATTTAGATTTCCCACATCATACTTGCTTTTAGTGATATATTAGGTCCAGTCCATCTCTCCACATCATTCCAAGATCTCTGCTCCTGCCTCTGTTCCTCCCAGCTCTTGTCTGCCCTTCTCTCCTCCTCCTTTGCCTCTCACCTTCCTATCCTCTGGCTCCTCCCTCTCTTCCTAATTCCTTTCTATTGTTCAACATTGTGGCTAGTTGCTTTATTTTGGCATGGTTACACAAAGTTGAGACAAGTGATGCTTAGAATAAGTATCATAATGCAATATCCGGATTGAAAACAGAGAGTGGAGAGAAATCAGTATTTGAATGAACAAGGGTAAGGTGTATATATTTCAAAAGAGCATTAAACCAACAATATGGGAAGATAGTTTTCCCATGTTGGAGAAGCTCTCTCTTGGGAGGGTATTCACAAAATCAGTTCTTCAGTCCTATTCAGCTAAGACTGTTCTCTTAGAATTTTGTTCTTGGAGTTGGTTCTCTCCCTCCACCTTAACATAGTTTTTGGAATTGAACTCAGGCTGCCAGGCTTTCAAGCATGCCAGGCCATGTTATGTATATATTTTATGTGGTGCTAGAGATCAAATTCAGGGCCCTGTGCATTTGGATAAGTGCTGATCCTCTGAGATATATTCCTAGATCCTGATTTTTGTTTGTTTATTTTGAGACAAGATCTCACTTTGTAACCCAAGCGATCCTCCTTCTTCAACCTCCTGAGCACTGGGATTGCAGATGTGTCTAAGCAACTTGGCTTACACTGGCCTTTTCTGAAACTTCTGCTTGCATAGCATTGACTATTTGGGTCTATTATATTGTACAGGATGTCTTTTTCTGTGTGACGGAGGATCCTAAAAACTCAGTGACTTTGGTGTGACATCATGGGAATTTATGCAGCTCTGTGATTTTTCTGGGCTCATCTGGGAAGTTTCTTACTTGGTGTCCACTGGACTCATCTAGGAAGTTGGTGCTAATTCATTTGGGGGTTGATTGGTATAGAGGGACCATCTCATGACCCTGGTTCTTCAGCAGGCTGGCTCAGGCTTAGACAGTTTGTTCCAAAAATTCACAGCCCTCTGTAAACTTTTGTTTATGTCACTGTGATTATACTTCACTGTCTACAATAGGTCATGTGGGAGGACGCTACCACAGGATGTGCATGCTGAAGACAGGAATGCCTTTTTGCGGCCATTTCTGCAGCCTGCCTTTATGATATTGCTTAATCGAGATCCCAGTCTAGTGACACCAGCCACAAACATACTAATGTTACAGCATATGCTACAAGACCCAGGGAGGTAGAGGGGGCTTTCTACGGTAATTCAGAAAGTTAGGAACAGACTAGGCTTAGAAACCCAACTGTAGCGACCCAGATATCCAGCACTGGAGACCCCACAAACTGTGACTTCTTTACCTTCCTTAGGCATCACCTTAGGTAGCTACCATGTGATTCTCCTGTCCCTGATGTTTCCACCTCCGGACTAGTTAAAAGCTGCTTTTTGTATAATGGGGATTGAACGCAAGTCTTTGTGAACACTATGGACCACTGAACTATGGGCTAGGGTTTGCAAGATTGTAAAGATGAAAGGCTAGGTATTGGAAGGCTCACAGGATATCTGATCTTATGACCAAGAAGCACCATTGCTTCAAACAATGGTCTGAATTATCTCCTGTCCTTCTATTCAGACCATTGTTTTCCAAGTGCCTGAGAGCCTCTGTGAATTACTTTCAGACCCCTAGCCCTCCATCAACTCACCCATTACTGTATCTGTCTTCTTAGCAGTATCTGACAATGAGGAAGTGCAAAGGAGTATTACAGTGTTTGGAGCAATCAGTGCACTGTGATTCATTCTGCTGGTGATGGACAGAGGCAGAGTGGATGGACTATGGGAGGGCAGAGGGAAGACTGTCTAGGAAACTAAGATCTGAAGGCCGGTGTGTCTGGAGGGGGTCTGTCTTGCACTTCTCAGCCTGGGTCAGGGCTGTGCACAGAAAGAGCAGCTCTGGAGAGTCAGGACAAAGGAAAAGCCCGACTTCTCACTCCATAGCATGAGCCAGTACCTGTCCACATGTGGTCAACTGGAGTCATGGAGTTCCTGGCTAGATTATCTGTTCAGTCCTTCTTTTACAAGGGAGTGAAGGAGGCCTGAGGCCTGAGTTTTATGACATACACAGTTGCAGGCATAGCAAGATGAGTTAGGGAGTAGGGGAAATGCTTTGGACAAAGGAATAATGGCTGGATCCATTTGCATCATGCCTACATATGTACCTGGAGGCCAATTTACCACACCCACACATGCATGTTTACACAACTACCACAGACACAGAATCAGTCTAAGTGCTCACAAGATGACTGGATAAAGAAAATGGCATTTTATATATACACACACATTAGAATTTTATTCAGATGAAATTGTATTTTCAGGAAAGTGGATGAAACTGGTAGCCATTGTGTTACACAAAATAAGCCAGCCTCAGAAAGACAACTATTATGTCTTTCTAGATTTTAAATTCTCTCTCTCTCTCTCTCTCTCTCTCTCTCTCTCTGTATCCATGTGTGATGAAATAGAAGGGGAAATATTTAGGAAGGAGACCAACAGTAGTGGAGACTAGGGTGGGATGGGATGGGGCTATATTTAAGCAAAGTCTGATGAAAAACATGTATGGAGTAGTCATTATGAAAACTATTTTGGATGCTAATTAAATGAACAAATATCTTTTAAAAAAAGACTAACTACAATCCAAGGCCCAGGGGACATCCCAGAAAAGAGGGCAGAAAGATTGTAAGAGCCAGAGGCAGGACATCTGCTGCAAGACTGTGTCTTCTATATATGACAAGAAATTGCACCCATGAAATTGCAACAGTATGGCTGCCTAAACAAGACCTGCACAATGGCAACACTAGTTGTCACACTAACGGGGACAGAGGAAAAACTCACAATGTCTCTCCCCTAGATGAAGGCAATTAATGGCTCCTAGGAGAGGAAGAATTACCCTTCTTCAAGGATGAGCCCTATTATAGCTATCAACCCCATGTAGTCAGCCCCAAACACATACACATATGGGCAACATAAAATAAGCAGGACAGAGAGAGAGAGAGAGAGAGAGAGAGAGAGAGCTAAAATTAAAGAAGGTGTGAGTTTGAGGCAGCTGGTGGGTTACACTGGAGGAGCTGGAGGGGAGAGAAGGGAAGGGTAGATATGATATAAATTCAATTCTCATATATTAAAGTCTGAAAAAGCACTAATATCAAAAACTGAAAAGAAATAAGATTGACAGTATTTTACATATTAAGATTAATAGTTCCCTTCAGCGGTTAAGAGCACTGGGTGTACTTCCAGAGGTCCTGAGTTCAATTCCTAGCAACCACATGGTGGCTCACAACCATCTGTAATGGAATCTGATTCCCTCTTCTGGTGTGTATGAAAACAGAGCAATCATATACATAAATAAATAAATCTTAAAAAATTAAAAAAATATATTGATAGTACCATTACACATTCAGGCCCAGCCTTTTTTTGGGAAGCCCCTCATCCGACCTGCTGGAGATAAGTAGATACCAGCTTCCTCAACAGCAGCCAGAGCCGGCAGCTTTGCAAAGTATCCACACCCTCTATAAATCTGGTGTTGACTAGTGAAAGAGCCTCCCACAATCCTCCTAGGTGCAGGGTTGCAGCCTGGCTGCTGGGAGTACAGGGGAAATTTGTAGGACAGCAGTCAGCAGTGGTATCTCCCAGCACCATGGCAGAAGAGCAGTTAAGCCCAGGAAAAACAGCACATTTTACAGCTCAGGAGCTAGAGGTTCTTGGGTGGCCTTTCTGTGGCTGCACAGAGAGGCCTTTGCAACATCTGGACACTTTGAGAACAGATGGGGAGCTGAGCAGTGGCCCAGAGGAGACAGGAAGAAGAGAAACATGGAGTTAGGGCCCAGAGGCAGACCAGGCATCCAGGCATTGAAGAAAGGGGTGGACGTGGCGCCGTCTCTGTAGGATCTTAGGTATTAACCCACACCAGGACATGATTCCTGAGCCCCAGGAGTGGCTTGACAGCATGGTTATGGAGGGAAGGCTCACACACAGCAACCTCAAACCTCTCAAGGTAGGACTTGTGTGGATGCTGAGCTGTGCCACTTAGACAGGAGGTTGGGAGAAGTCAAATGGAGGCCGGAACTGTGTGTAGATGTGGCATCTTCATGGAGAAAGTGGGAGGTAAGCCTTTGTGTCAAGGACACTTTAAAGAATTGTGCTGGAGACAAAACAAGCAGGTTCTCTTTAGTAAAATAAGACCTTGGAATTTTGAACTACAGTCTAGCACTTCCACCTCAGGGCAAGGGCACTTGTGTCTGATAATAGTTGGTTCCATCCTTAAATGGAAGCAGCCGTGGTAGCCTTTACCTGGATACTGTGTTTTCAGGAGCCTGGGAAAGCCTCCCTCTGTCCTGGTCTGCCTCAGGGCTCCAGATTCTCAGAAATCCGGTTGACTCTCTATTTTCTCTTCATGTGCAGGTACTGGCCCTGGCTACAGCACAGACCCTCTGCTGTCTCTGCTCTTGTTAGTCCTACATAAGTTTCTGCACCCGCTTCTGGGGCACTGACAGTCGTAAAACCTCAGCAGGCACCCTGGGAGGACACCTTGCCACGTGGACAAAGAGACCAAGGGAAGCATGAAGAAGTCCATGCGAAAATAAATAAATCATATTTTTGGGGAAGTAACACAAATCTAGAAGACTTAAATAATGCATCAAGTTTCCAAATATGATGGAGTGCAGGCCGTGCGGTGTGCATGGGGCACCAAGTTCTTCACGGCAATGTATTTTTCTTTCCTTCACATTCCCTTCAAATCTTCATTTTGCACGAACTGTTGAGCAGGTACCTTGAGGATAATATGTGAAAAAAAAAAATGTTGGGTCAAAGCCTTTCTGACAAAGTAAAATATTTTTAGGAGATTATTGTGTTTAGATTTTTTTTGAATTTACATTTTCTTTGGGGGCTTTTCTTTTTTTATTAAATTATTTCTTTGGAGATACTTTGATTAAAAAGAAACACCATAATTAAAACTCACTGTCAATAATATTTATTTTTAAATAAAGATTGGAAACAAGGATATACAGTTGTTTCTAAACTGTATTGTATATTGCTGAATGATAGTTGAATGAAGAAAAAACTTTTAAATAGACTTTCTACAGCTATGTATGACTGTCAAGCTTCAGTGCCTGCTGCAGCCAGACACTGTGACCTCCTCTTCTCAGACACCAGCTGAATGTCCCCCAGCATGGAAAGCAGCCCAGGACACATGGCTGGGCCACAGAGAGCATACAAGAGTACCTGCCAATCTGCCAGGGGACAGTCGACTTCTTAGAGGCAAGAATGAATACTGAAAGAGAGAACTACTGCCAAGAACCAGCTATCCCCTGCGGCCTTCAGTAGATCTGAGGCACACTTATCTGCTGTGAGGTCACAGCCCAGCCTGTACTGGTCCTAGCTTTACTGACGATCAAAAAGGGAGTTTGGAGAGATGGTTAGTCTCCTGTACTCTCTCACCTTGTACCTACAGGTTGGCTTGTAGCCTCCAAAATCTGTGGGTTTGGGTATAGGTTGCATATCTCAGAAACACTAATATGCTCTGGTGGCTAGTTATTCTTCATTTCACGACAGGACTCCAGTAAGTACACAGACCTGTGGTTTGTTTAAAATATAGCCAGACTTTTATAACTGTTGTTTATTTTGGTGTTTTGTTTTGTTTTATTAATTTTGAATTGGCTTATTTGAATGGCACTTTTTTTTTTTAATGAGAAGATCTCATGCTATAACCTAGGGTAGACTAAAATTTCCATATAGCCCAGGCTGTCCTTGAACTTGTAAGCCTCCTCTGTCTCCCCAGCCTCCTAAATGCTGGAAGTATAGGCATTTGGCACTGTGCCTGGCTTAACCTTTGTATAAAACACATGGTTTTGTTCATATTGTTCACCAAATGCTTTCTTTCTCCTTTGGCTGAGCATGTGTTGTGATTGTGGCAGGTGGGGCCACAGCACCCACAGGATGAACAGGTTAGTTCAAGACACTTGGTGTCTGATGCAAGGCTCTCTGAAGCACTCTCCTCTGGTATGACAATGTGAACATTCAAAATAGCAAGCCTACCCTGCTCTCCCCTCCCCCCAGCTACAGAACGCTAATGACTGACAAGCAGCACTGACTGACACAATGCTTGCTTATTTCAACCCAGTAGTTTTTGGAGGGCTCCTTGTTACTGTAGCACAACTGACTAGGTCAGTATTTAGACAATCAATTGCTTAGCTAAGAAAAAAGATAAACCTTATGTTTGGAAAATCTCACATGTTCAGGGACACCAGCATGACACTTGTGCCTGGGATGCTGTGTGAAGAAAGCCTCAGGACCACTATTTCTAGTGGATGCCTCAGGCTGTTCCGTATTTCATTTCTACTGATCAGTATCAATTGAGCTGTAAATTTAATCATTTTGCCTGGTGGATAGTCATTCTGTCCAGAAAGATCATCTGTTTTCATGGTGAACTTGACACTGCACTAGGCTAGCATCATTGTACATTTTAGTCCTTTGTGCTTGAAAGGAGAGAAAAAGGCACTTTTCAGATGCCAGGTTGAATAGAGACATGTGTTGGACACAGGGTGATGTGCCAGGTGACCAGGGTTGAGGTACAGAAAATCTGCCCCCATCAACAAAGCCAGATCCTGCCGCTCAGGTTAAGTAATCCAGGTGCCTGCTGAGATCCCCACTTTGGTGTAATGGACATGAGGAAGAAAGGCAGGTGAGCAGTGGAGACATTGTTCTCCTGGCCTCTTCTGGGATCTCAGAGATGGGTGGTGATGCATGCTTTTAATCCCACTACTCAAGAGACAGAAGAAAAAAGATCTCTGTGAGCTCGAGACCAGTTTGGTCTACATGGGAAGTATCAGGCCAGCCATAATCATATGGTGAGACCCTGTCTCCAACAACAATAACAAACAAATCCAACGAACTCAATAAACATAATTGACAGCTGGGACACAGGGGGATAAATGTTCCATCTCTTAACATGGAGGACAACCTGGACACCTGGCCAAGGTTCTAGTGAGCACACAAGAGCAATTGTTGAATTCTCTAAGGACCGAATGACAAGAGTATCAAGGAAGTGAATATTTAATCTCTTCACATGTACTCCAACGACAGAACAAATGGAGCTCACAAAGAAGCTCTTAAACAAGCAGAAAGCAAGAGTGAATACCCCTGGCCCTGGGCTCTGTGCATTGGTTACCAACATCCCTGCTGGTCTGAGCACAAAGGGAGAAGTGTGCACCTGCAGATGCACAATGCAGACTGTGGGCTGAGCCACTCCTGCAGCACCCCAGGAAGACAGAAGCACAGTCTGCATGGAAATGAGTACTGTACACAAGTCTGGAAAGACAAGAGTCTCCCCTACATTGGAAAGCTGTAACACTCATTGCCCAAATTCCCTTTCCTTTTCGTGTTTGATTTTAGATGAAGAGAGGGCATGAGTAGGTCTCAAGGACAAGACGACTTAGTTCTTTGTGACAGGCACACACTGGGTTGTGTGGTACTCTGGTCCGAGTCGGTGAGCAGCACCCTGTCTGAGTAAGGGACTGGAACTCTGGAGGTCAGTGTGGCAATTACTTTACAGTGAGAGCTGGAGGAAGAACAAGAACCACAGGCTGATCCAGGCAGCGAAAGCAAACGGGAGAAGGATGGGGAGGTCTGCGTGTCCCGGGCCTAGGGAAAGCCCTGAATTCTGCAGTCCTGATAAAGATTGCATGCTGGTTGTAGTACCTCCCAAGTGTAAATTTACTCATATTTTTACACAGTAGTCAGTCTTTAATAGCAGTAGTCAGTCTGTCCTTGGTGGGACAGACATAAATTCTTAAGAGTTTCACAAGATATGATCAAATACAGCAGCATTCTGAATTCTAATCTAACCCTAAGTCCATGCTCCTAGAGACAGCTCTGACTCAGAGGACACAGGGTTTAACTGACCCATTCAGGGTGGGCCTTGGTTTGAACACAATAAGGGCAGCCTCTTGGGGCTGTGATCAGAGGTAAGGGGCTTCTGGTGCATCTGGATGAGGCCCATCCCCTGTGGCTTTGCCAGGAACCCTCCCCACATTATATATGACAACAAGATCTCCCATTCCACCGACATTTCTGAGGTTTCAGCTTTGGGTTTCCTGGGCAAGACATGGCAAGAGGCTCAACCCATTCACATAGTTCATGCACATATCTGCATTGTGCTCACATACACATCTGCACAGGGAAACTCCAGCCAGGCTGGGTATACAGGCTTTACACACTCACAGGAATACCTGCTATCATCAGCCAAGAATCAGGACAATCCACCAAGCATAAGAGGATGCCCTTTACCTTATCATTCAGACCTGCTCCATTTTGCTGCTGCAGAAACAACATGAGACAAGGTACTGAAACACTGGCAATAGCGAGCTCTTTTAAATGACAGAGAACCATTGGCACCAAAAGCCTATTTCAAGCAAAAGAAAACATGAATTCACGCTGAGTCTACTCTACCACCAACTATCAAAAAACAAATAAACAAACTAACAAGCAAAACTCAAAACATTCAATGCTGCCTGTGCTTACCATTTTCAAAGGACTGAGCGGAGAAAATTATTAGCAGGAAACACAGATGCCATTCAGGAGGCAGAAGCAGGGGGGATGTAAATTTTGAGGCCAGCCTAAGCTACATAGTAAGACCCTGTATCAGGAATATAAAAAAAGAAAAGAAAGAGTTTTGGAGTTAGGAAGGATTGCTTGTAAGTGAATAGTTTTTGTTTGTTTGTTTGTTTGTTGATTTTGAGGCAGGCCCAGGCTGGCCTCAAACTTAAAATGATCCTTCTGCTTCAGCCTTCTGAGTACTGTGATTACAGGTATGAGCGAACATGTCCAGGTAGTGGAGAGTTTTGACTGCATTGGATCTAAGAGTGTTTGTTTATTCAAAGCCACTGCAAAGAAAGTTAAAAGTAGCTAGGAGCTGTGGAACATGCTTCACTTCAGAGGCAGAGACAAGATGATCAGCATTAATTCCTGACCAACCTGGTTTACCTTCAGAGTTCTAAGCTAGCTGAAGCTATACTGTAAGATACTGTTTCAAAATACTAAATGTTTAACAACTCAAAAGTCCCTCCTTCAGAAAACTTGGATTAAGGAGGTATAAAGAACGCCTAGAAATCAGAAAGAAAAACAAACAAACAAACAAACAAAAAATAGAGACAGGGCATTGAAGTGACCTAGCAAGTATGTGTATTTACCACCAAACCCAACAACCTAAATTCAGTCCCCAAGACCCACACAGTAGGAAAAAACAGACTCCTGAAAGTTTTCCTCTTCTATTGTATTAAATATACGCACACACACAAATACTACATCACACCACACACTTAGTAAGAAATATTCAAACCAATGGGAGAATAGATAAAACATGAACAGCCATATCATGGAAGTAAAAACATGGCCAGTAAACAGATAAAGGTATTTAGGCTAACTAGTGATCTAAAAAGAAGCCAGAACAACAATGATCATGCTCATTTAATTACCTCAACTTTGAAATTGTAACAGCCAAGTATTAGAGAGGACATGGGTCTATAACATCTCTCGAGGATCAACTGAGGCATGACTTGGTACAATCATAACAGGGAGAACTTGGACACTGATTGTTAAAACTGAACATTCAGATACACTCTAACCCAAAGGGTTCATGCCTGAGTGCCGAACTTTGCGTATGTATCCCATAATCTTGTAGAAGTTGCTTCATATAACCTGGAAACAAGTGCCTGTAAGCAGGACAATGGGAAGATATTATAGAATATTCTCATGATGAAATATCATATGGGTCAGAGTAAATGAGCCACAAACAGAAAGGATCCAAACAGTGAGCCTAAGCATGAAACATGAAAAAAAAAAAAAAAAAAAAAAAAAAAGTCTGAAATATTGCTTTAGATAAAAAGAAAAAACTGGGCCAAAGCCAATAGACACCTGATATGTGATGGATGGAGAAAAGGATAAGATTGGTGGACACAGATCATACATACATACATACATACATACATACATACATACATACATATTGCTAGATACATGATTGATAGTAGGTAGATAGATAATTGATAGATGCTCAGGAAGACAGATAAACAGAAATAGATATAGACATATAAATGACAGAAAAATAAACAATTAAGGATGGGTGGATAGATACATGATTGATAGATGTGAGAGAGGAGGGAGAGAAAGAGATGATGGATGATAGAGATGATAGAGAAAGATAGAGATAAAGGGAGGGATAGATAGGCTTGCTTAGTGGATAAAGGTACTTGCCAACAGGGCAGGTGACCAGAGTTCTTCAGTAGAAGGAAAAAAACCAACTCCCAAAAGTTGTCCTCTGATTTATGAATGTGTGCCATGAATACATCCAAACACACACACACTAAATAAATAAATAAATAAATAAATAAATAAATAAATAAATAAATAAATAAAATATAATATAATAAAATTATTTTTCAAGAAAATGTGTGACTAACATAAAACTGTCTTAAGCAAGGAGTGGTGACAGCCACCTGGACTTGGAAGACACAGGGTGAAGAGGAGTCATGGGTGGACAGAGGTGAAAATCATGACCATAGTCAGGCTTAGAGGTGGGTACTTACTTCACTATCAAAAATCATCAAATAAATGAATAAGGTCATAGGCAGAGCAACAGAAAGAGCAGATGGTAAGCATGGCAGGCAGTGGTGGATCTGATCTCTACAGGTGAACCGAAAGCAAAGGAAGGAGAAAAAACTCTACGTGGCCCTTGCGAGTTACATTTAGTAACAACTCTGCATGCCCAAGACAAATTCATCTCCAAGTCCATCTCCCACCTATGCCTGCACACTGGACGCTCTCATGCTGCATTGCTCTCATAGCAC